GTTTTTGGAGTTTATATAGTTTTAGTTAGGGTGTCGTAAGTGATTGAGAGTTGTTCTTTGTTTTTATGCTTGCTTTGGATTTTGTTGTTCCGATGATTGCAATGTCATTTCAAGACAAAGTTTTATCATTTGTCTTCTTGCCTTAACTAAATGTTATTGTGTGTCCAAAATTAGTAGCTTGTTGGAGCTTCCTTCGATGTGACCAAAGGTTGTTGATGATTTATGCTATTGTTTGGCTTTGTCTCTAAAAGCAATGATTCCTTAAAAAAAAAAAAAAATAGAAAGAAAGAAAGAAAAAGCGTACAATGGAGTTAATCCAAAAATCCTGGAATACAAGAGAAAAATCAACTTTCCACGTGGTATTGTAGCTAACCGAGTAGCTTTAGAAACATGTGTACAAGCTTGTATAATTAAGAATAACTTTGGAGGATCAACCATCTTTAGTGAAATATATCATTTTTAGCTCGGGAGTCAATTTTAACCCTTGAAATTTTAATTTTATCCAATAAAACTTTGAACTATTGCAATTATAATACATTCTTAAAACCAAAATATAGAGTTTTTAATGAAAATAAATCATACTTGTAGCTTCGTCTGAGAGCGAGTGAGCCTGCAACTTGAAAAACTCGACTCTGGTGCAGTGTCCCGTCTAATAACCTCTGATGCTCAAATCAATAATCGGAGCAGAAAATAGGAAAAGACGTCTTAAGTATTAATGACAAGTTTTTCACTTAATTGGTGATGGTGAGGGTTCTTCCTTATATAGGCTCAGGCGGTCGACCAGGAAGGACGACAGTTATGGTGGTAGGGCGTGCCGCACGGTACATCGTCTGGCGAAGGTATACGCCTCCGACAACTGGTGGGTGGCGCCGTTGCCTGGCGAAACCTCGGGTTTAGCATGCTACCCGTACCAGAGGGACGGAGGCGCACATCCCTTGCCACAGCAGTGTACAATGCGTAACCGTATGTGGTCCCCCGCCTTTCAACTGTTGACATGCGTCCTCTCGATTTTTACCCTCAACAATACTAAATACTAATAAGTTATAAAAAGAAATAAAAAAATCCTAAAAATCACGTCATATCATTGCACAATATATTAATATTCATAAGATTCCATTTCAAAATCAATTGACGACGAGAAGATCAGTAGTCCATGTGTATTATAAATGTTTGTCAGGTCCCTTATTTTTTTTTTTTTAACGTGGAATGCTACAATGTATGCAACTATGAAAATAAAACCTACCCACAAAATCAAGCAAGTAAAAAACGCTCAAATTTAAGTCCTACAAAAAATAGCCTTTTTTAATACAACATATGAAGATGGAGGTTCGAACTCAAAACTTCTTGGTCGAGAATTTATTCCTTAACCATTTAATATATGTTACGTAAAAGTTGGTTACAAATTATATAGTCTTATTTTACCGAAAATAATACTTTTTTATTATATGTTTTTATAAAAAAAAATGATAACAATAAGACGAGAAGCTAGAAATTATTTTCCCAAAATTTGAATACAACTTTGAGAGCGTTTTCTTAAAAAGAAGAAATGAAAAATGAGCTATGAAACACAAAGTTTTTTATAAAAATTAAAAACAAAAACGAAAAAATGTTACCAACAGCAGGATGGATTAGGACACAACATTAAACTTATATAATTTGGATAAAACTAAAAACATAAGACAGTTAGGTTTAGTCTTTAGTGTAATTAAAAGACGACAGCAATGAGCCAAAGTCCCCTTGTGTGTGGCCATAGCATTGGATTCTTCATATATTTGAATATTGAATATAAAGCCTGGTGATGTGCAGTGCTGCTTAACTATAATTTCATTCCTAATCCTAATACGTTACTTCCTATACTCTATCTCGACATATTTGATCATTGATCAAAAGGTTAGAAGTTCAAATACGAATATATTTAACATTTTCTTTTGAGAATTAAGCCAACATGAGCATAGTTCATTGGTAATTGACATATATTCCTTTTCTTGAGGTCGGAGGTTTGATCCCCATATTCCCCAATTTGTTGCATTAAAAAAACATCCTATATTTTCTACTTATATTTTTTAAAAAAATGTCTAATTAGATAATAATTTTGTTTTTTAAAATTAAAGTTTACTTAACTATAAAATTTCTAGCTTTTTCATGCATTTTTCACTTTTTGAAGAGTAAAAATTCTATTTTAGTCCTTGAGTTTTCACCGAGAGGCCGTTTGTTTTTTGGGAATCCAAGATTTTGATTGGACGGGCATATGGATTTCTACATTTGTTTTACGGAAATGTAGGGCACCCGAAATCTTGAGATACCATAGTATCCTAGGATGCCAATAGAGAGAGCTACCTTACGAGTTTTAGATGCCCTTTCGAAACATGAGTTTACAAGATTCCCGTGTTGAGGGATATCTAGTCTTTACATTTTTGCACTTCATTTTTTTCTCCATATATTTTCTTTTATCAATTTTCTTTATTTTTTCCTCAAAAAAATTCTTTATTTTTATTTTTAAATTTATAATTGAAATGAATTAATGTACTCATAATCTAATAAAACAATTTTATGCAATTAAGTATATTTGTACATTAGATTGATATGTAAATAAACTGCAATTCAATTATATAATATTTCCATTGATTTTTAATATTTTGAAGGAATTATATTATTAATAATATTTATTATCATAAATATATAATGTTAAAGCAACATTTTCTTTACAACCTACATATTTATGATATTTTTCCTCTTAAAAAAATATAATGTGACGATAAGATAAATAAATTTCAGCCAAGGTAACATAAATTACATGATTATCTTTTTTGGAAAACTATTAAAGTTGAAAATGAAATTTATATTATATTAATATGAATTAACTTGTTATAAAAAATAACATATAAAAAAGTAAACTATTAAATTAATTCAAATAAATCTATTATATTAAATGAATTTATAAATTATATGAATATTAGTAAGGGCATTTTTGGAACATTCTATAAATTTAACATATTCTCGATAATAAATCCTGTAAAACAAACATCACTATCCAAATATTTCCAGATATCCTTAATTATAAATTTTTCTACGAAACAAGCGTGACTATCTAAAGAAGCCGGACATTTAAATTCCAGGCATTTGAAATTCCAAGCATCTGTAGATGTTGGGCATCTGCATTCCTGAAAAACAAAGAGCCCTAATAGCTTAATTTTTTAAACAGTTGCAAATATGTCAAATACATTTACTAAAATTAACAAAATAGCAACCACATTTAGTTTTTTTTTTCAAATATAGCACTTAGAAAAAACGGAGGTCCAATTTTAAAATAATAACCTTACTCAAATGATATACATCTATAATATATCTGTAATAAATTTGACTATTGATATATGTATGTGATATACATCTGATAAGAAAGGAGAAAGAGCTTTTTCACTAGCAACCTAGGGTTGGTAGCGAAATTCAGTCTTCGTGACCCCATAACTGCAATATGTATGTGATATACATCTGAGATACTATTGATATGAGTATCTGTGCAATATGTATGTGATATACATCTAATATACTACTGATATGAGTGTTTGACTACTGATATGAGTGTTTGATATACTACTGATATAAATAAAATTTTTTGCTATATTTGAAAATTTTAAAAAACAGGTGACATTTTTTGAATTATATAAAAGATTTTCGCTACCCACCGTAATTTCCCTTAATTTTTTAAGAAGATTCTTGCAAGAGAGGTGCTAGAAGTTGGGGAAGATCTCCTTGCCATGTAGTACTAAAAAACAATTTTAGGGGATTTTGATTGCACAATTTAATTTAAAAAGATTTTGGACAAATAATGGGAATCAAATCTCTAACCTTTGGGATGATAAATGTAGCGTAGATGATGAACTCACAAGATCTTTGCAGCTATTTTCAACATACAACGAATTAGTGTGTGGGCACCTTTTAAGAGAAAGGATGAGGAATAGCTTCTTCTTGATCGCTACTAAAGATTAGGGAGAGTAGCACATTAGCCAAAAACCTGATGAATTTCTTAATTACATATTTAATTTTCTTAATTGATGTGTTGCTCTATCTCATGGATTTGGGAATATGAACTATTCCACGAGACCAGCCAAATCATGTAAATTAAAAGTCAATTAAACATTTTAATTTTAAAATAAATAATTAAAAGTTAACGAGAGCAAAAAGCTATTTTAAATAATTAACATTTTAATTCTAAAATAAATAATTAAAAGCTTCCAACTTATTATTCGTTGCAAAAGTTAACAAGCTAGTAGGAGGAGAGCTAGAGGGAGCAAGAGCGCGAGTAACGGATAGGAGCGAGTGAGTATAGAATAGACGAGTGAAAGCGTGAGTGAGAGAGGAAGAGCGAGAGCTAGAGTAAATGGAGAGCGAGAGCGAGACCTATTTTCAGTGTGGTTAGAAGCGTAATTTTATTTTGGAAAACCAGGTCAGATCTGATTTATGCTCAATTTTTCATGTCAGATAAAAAACTCAAGAGAGAGAAGAATATCTTTTTAAAATATATTTAAAATTTTGCCACATCATCACAAGAAAATAAAAAGGCACATCATTTCTAATGTTAAAAATGTTCAAAGAAAATTAACAGTAGTTACCTAAAAGCAGCGTTATTGAAACCTTTGAGGCAAAAAATGAAAATAAAATCGAAAACTCAAGCACAAAAAAGATATTTTTCCCAAATTTTACTATTTTATAATTATGTAATTGACTACAAAAAGAAAACCCTCATGATTATTTTTAAACTTTCCTACAGTTATCTTTGTTTTCAACTTTTATATTGGGAGCTACAACATGAGCAGATTGTAAATTGTTTCAAGATGGTGTAAGATTAGCACAAACTGCCAACTTTTGGATGATCGAAAAATTTATCCTTATCTACATTTAAATCCTATTTTATTTTGGTTCTTGAAGTTTCATATTTATAAACTGACATGAGAGCTGCTTTCCTCTATAATATAATAGGTGCCCTTTAACAAAACTGTGCCTTTGCAAAATAAAATCTACATTTCTCAAGTTTCAACTCGTCAAGATGGATTGTCAAAGCGGACATAACTCAATGGTAATTAACATCTATCTCCAACCAAGAGGTTATGAATTTGATATCCTATCCACACGTTGTACTAACAAAAAAAACTCACCGTAAAGAATTAACATTTATGTGGACAAACTACAGATAATAATGGCAGTAAGAGGCAGTGAAGTCCAAAGAATGAAGAAAATTACCGCTCCCTTTACCTGTTAATGTTCCTGTATCACACATCTTACAAACTGTTCAACCACTGGCCAATCTCTCGAAAAATCGCCATTACCGTTAGAATCCGAAGACCGTATCAGAAGTGAGATCTTCTTCCGTCTAGCCACACACAAGGACATCAAAAAGATATAAATTAGCTATGTGTTCTCTTCAGGCTTGTACTTCCATTTTCCATCAACGATCTTCAGGCAAATCAATCAGACACCAGCACAAATAGCTCCTGGAGAAGGGGGAGACAATAAATCAACTTGCCGTAAACTTCGTATTTTTTGTTTAATGTTGAAATTTTGGGGTTGAGACGATTGATTTCTCATTTGATTCGTTATATTAGAGAGAGACAAACCTGCAGCCCAAGAAGAGCAGCAAAACTTCCCCTCGTCAATGTATGCAACGTCGAGCCCAACAAACCAGGAACCGGCCGTGACATCGTCATGGGCGTAAGAACGGAGAATAGATCTACAGATTTGATAAACCCAATCTAACCATTTGTGTTGAGGCATATTACATGCAGACAATGGATGACAAGGAGAAAGACTTGCCTGTTTATTGAAATAAACTTGGCCAGAGCTTTTGATATGACATACATTTCACCTGAAGCATGACGGAAGTATCTGTTTTCCAGAGATGACAATTTTTATTAAAAAAAATACAAACATATGAAACACAACTATAAATGCGTATTGATAACTTCCACAATATATAGCTGAAAAGATGAGTCAATGTGTGTTTGGAAATTCTTTTAATATAAATGCTTTTGCTAAAAGTAATTCAATTATAAGTCTTTATTACTAAAAGTACTCAATAACCAATAATGATAGTTTCGGTTCGAGAGTGCTTTTGACTGTACTGAAAGTGCAAAAACACTCCCAAACATAGGGTTAGTATTCAATATATTGCATCTCTCTCCAGGGAAAAAAAAAAGAAAAAGAAAAAGTACTCAAAATATAGCATGTTTGCAAAGCAAGTGCAGTGGAAAGTATTTAGCAGGACGAACTAGTAACATAAATATTGCAATATGGCATACGCATGCAATATCACTCACGTTTTTTTGTCACCAAATTTCCACCAATCTGGTTCGTACCATTTATGGCCCCTGAGAAGGTCCAGACAGAGAACGATAAGAGATTTAATTTCATGGTCAAAGGTTCAGTACCTATGTTAAAAACCTACTGTCATTTACGCCATACTCACGGTTCAGAGAATACTTCACCAGATTTCATGCACCCGACATAGACACGAGGTTTGTCCAAATAAGAAGCAAGTGTGCTCCCCAGGGCATCTGTATAGGACAAAAGTAAATTACAAAAATTATAAGCCCATGTATACATTTCCACTCATAAGTGCATAAGCACAAAACGGGAAGAAATTGAGAATAATAACGAAGACAAGACTACAAACTATGTGGTTGAAGATATAGTAAAAAGGTTGAGAGTATTTTTCTTTAGAAGAAAAAAAGGGTCATGAAAAACACAGGCCAAACCCAAACAAAAGGAACCCTAGAAAAGAAAAATTCCAAGAAGTAAATCCCTGTAATAGTCAAAAGGTAGGATAATCATAAAGACCCAAAAGGAGGCGTTTACATATACTAGACTTCAAAGTACTTCTCAAGGTTCCACTACCTTCTTAAAATTTCTTTTTATTTCTAACCAATGCTCTAAAGAATAGCGAAAGAGCCAGTCTACAAATGAAATCTATCTTCAAACAGATGATGCACAAGGCCCTCCATTATAGTGCAACAGTATCAACTAATGTTGTATAACTTGTATTACATTATCTCACTTTTAATTCAAAGAGATATAGCAATGGCTTATCAAGAATCATTGACAGGCTGGTGTTTTCTTCTTGTCTCAAAAATGCTAATCAAGATCAGTAACTTTCTTTGGGAGGATGTTTCATATGCAAAGCTAGATGAATTGACTGGGAAATATTCATCTCAATGGTTGTACTAACCAATATTTATATAAACATCATCATTGACTTTGGCATAAAATTCGGCATCCCATTTATCAACAGCATAAGCAAAAAAAAGCTTAGCCTTCTTTGGAAGCTCTTCAGGCGCCTCCACATGGTCATTCTGTAAGAAGTAGGCCAAAGCCAGTCAACTAAATTTTACTTACGTTTAATCCAAAATTCCATCACCTATAAATGGATGGTTTTGATGTTGAAGCACACTGTCTATAACAATTAAGAAAACATACATGTATAACGAAATCATTATATTGTCTATTTTCATCGTCAATGGCCCTGTCTAAACTGTCCCCACGGTTTGCACTGCCATAAAACTAGATGTTAAGAAAGGCATTCAAATTAAAATCAAAATATTAGACATAAAGATGATAAATAGATGGAAATAGAAACCTTCTTCCAATGACAAATCTAGCAATTATGCCCTTCTGATTCTCCATTTTTTTCAAAGAAGCACCTGCAAATGAAGCTCTTAGTTCTAAACATTCAATAAAAACAGCTTTAAGAAATGAATGTATATACAGAAGAAATGAATGTTCTAAACATAAAGAGGGATAAAATTTGTTCCCCTGCAGTAGGAAAGTGCCACGATGAATTGCAGTCACAAGAAGCAATATTTTTCACACCATATCAAATCCCCAATCTGATTTTTCATTCTCAACCTTGAATTTTCTGTGTTCGTTCTATGAGGCCTATACAACCACAATCCTAGCAATTGGGTACACGAATAAGTTTGACCACAGAGAATAATAATGCATTACCAGTTCCCATCCATGCTTTACGAATTGCATCTCTGTTGTTTTTGCGGCCAAATCTAGTGATGACTCCAATTACAACCAAGGGGATCCTTGTTTCGTTAGTCTCTCTTGAATGCTTCACCAAAAAACCCTCCTGTCTAGCAGCAGCCAAATCCATCTCAAGCGCCATCAACTTCTTTTGTTGTTCCCTATCAAGAAAAAAATATATTATGAGAGATTGGTGCTGCATACTTAAAATTAGATAATTTCAATTCAACCAATCAAAAAATAACTACCTGCAGGCTATGATTTTTAATGTATCATCCACTGAGATAGCAGACTGTCCCTGTACAAGTACCACAGATCAATTTTAATAACCCAGGGAAGACAAAAATAAACAAGTGGATATGAAATCAACAAAAATTCCAAGTGGATCTGGCACCTATAAAGGGGCATAATAGTAACGAATTCAAAGCCAAGAACTAATAGCCACTACTACACGTTTAGGATAGGCCATAGGCTCATAGCAAATAACATGAAAATATGCTCCGTTTAAATCGTTCTGTGCCATCTCATAGCAACGGTTCAACTAGCAAATTTTGGTTGATTAAAGTTTTCATTCAGGATTTGAATGCACCTATCCACTCGTACCTTTGTAAATCATAAAAACCAAACAAATGAAAACAGGAACGGTCTGTATTTGTTTGATAATTACCGAATAAACTGTGGCAGGGAAGCCAGTTACAGAAAATGATAAAAATTGGCAAACTCATACTAAGTTTTTCCAGGCATGAATATTCCTTTAAGAGGCGGGATATCTTGAAGTAAAGAAACATGTAATGTAATATATTTCAAGGACCTTCGTGTAAGTGTCAACCACGTGCTTCTCCCCTATGCATTCTACAATGCCATTGAACGCCACTTATATTAATATTAATCAAATTCTAAAAACCTTCCCAATCAATGTAATAATTGAACCACCCGTCACAGAATAGTATCTGAAATTCGGCTTAAGCCCAGTATAGAACGAAATGCGGATGCTCAACTGGCGATTACAAATAACATCCAAAACTCCATAAATCAGTAAGCGCAATTAATGGCTGAAGCGGCTTACTCACCTGGCCAGTTAGCCTATCCAGCTCTTTAATCAAGTAAACCCTGTTCTCCGCATCCTGCCATAATCTGCACACATCGTCCAGGATTCAAAATCATCGATAATCAAACAGGGAAGGAAAAAAGAAGAAGCGGGGACGACGAAATCAAAGAGAACGAACCGGCCGGCGACGTAGATGGAAGCGAAGGTAGCGAACATGGAGAGCAAAAGGGTGGGAACTCGGGATCGAATAGGCATGCCCGACAGGCGAGCATTCGATCCCTTACTCCGCATCTTCTCAGCAACTAACAGGCTTCGTCTTCAACCTTCGAAATCCAAAATGATTCAAAACTGATGCATTTATCAGATCTTGCAGATCACAACATCTGAGACTTGGTTCGGTAATGAAATTGCTGTGCAGGATGGATTCGATTCCGGAGCAGAGAGCTGAGAATTGGCCGAGACTGAGGTTGGAGGAGCAATTGGATGAGAGAATGGGGGAGAAGAAGATGGAAGAAGATTGATTCCGCGGTTGGTGAATTGTTTCACTCCATTTCAGAGCTGGAGATGAACAGAAAGAAATTGCATTCAAAATCTCATTATCAAACTTTGGTAAGTAATAAAAACACACAATCTTTTTTTTTTTTATTGAGAAATCTAATTGGTTAAACACAGAGAGGAATATCACAATTAACCTCTTCCTACATTTTTTACCTAAAAAAAATTAATATTCTTTTCAAAAAAAACAAAAAAATAAAAAACATTGATATTTACTATATGTGAAAATGAATTTAAATACTTGTCAAATAAATAATGAACTTTATAAATTTGAATTTAGAATCTTTTTTCTAATACTCCATAGGAGTAGAGATTTTAATGTCTTTAACAGAGTTGAGCGCTCAGTTGACAATTTGAATGCTCAATGTCAAAATAAATAATAAAATTTTAATTTATTGTATTTTTTTTTTATGAAAAGAAAACGAAATTCGTTAATTTGTTATCATTTTACAAATAAGTTTATGTATGTTCTAACTTTTAAAGAGATATTTATTTGTCAAAGTAAATCATAAATTAAAAAAGTTAGTAGTCATTTTTAAAGTATTGTAAATATTTGGCAAAATGAATAGTAAAATTTTAATTTGTTATCAGTATCATAACCTTTGTGTGCTGAGAGGGACAGATTTATTTGTCAAAATGAATGATGAAAATTAAAGAAAAAAAATTACCACCCAAATTTAAACAAATGTAAACATTGTTTTTTATGGGGAAAAAATAAAATTTTACCTCGGACATATCACAGTCAATTTTCACTCTAAAATTTTAATTTTGACCAATTGAACTGAATATTAGATAAATATTGCAAATTTTTTATCTTCCATTTAACTTTCATTCATTCATCCACTAATTTTAACGGAAAAATAAACCTTAAAATTTACTAATTTCAACGAAAATCAAGTCTCAAACAAAATTAAGTTTAGTTAATAATAAGCATTATTCTAAATTTCGCTGGAGTCGATATGTCGACGATCTCGACATCGACATAGGAGAGAAAATCGTTTTTTCCCAATGTCGTCGACATGTCGAGGAAATGTCGATTTAGTTGTTTTTCAAGAAAAAAATCTAGACCGAAAATTTTGAATCCAGAAAAGGTTTTCCGCAAAGTGCAAAAAGTAAAGTAAAACAATGATCTATTTTAAATTTAAATTAAATTTAATTAAAAAAATCTAACAAAATCTTCAAGTAATTGATTTAAAAGACAAAAAAATTTTAAATTAAATTTAACTACCAAATCTTAAAACATGAAAAATCAATTTAACTCATTATTATTAAAAATTTAAATTTTAAACTAAATCTAATTTTTCTAAAATTATTTCATCCTTTATATATATTTATATTTCACATGTTTTATTCGCTATATTGATTAGAAATTATCAATAAAAAAGCAACATTAAACTTTAATTTATTAACTCAAATAATTTTTATATATGTATACATATGATTTTGTTTCAATATTTTCATCGCGACGATATTTTTATAAATATATTATTTATATATTTAGATATGATGATTAAAAGTGATTAGTTAAAGGTTTATTAAGCTACAATTAAAATATTATTTATTAATTTAAAAATTTTCCATCAATATCTACTATTTTCGCAATTTTCTCCGAAATATCCATCGATATGTCTGTAACATTGGGACCTCGACATTTCATCGACATCAACATTTCGAACCTAATAAGACTTCATTCAATAGCCCTACTAAAACTCAAAAAATTCTACAAAAATCTAGTTTTAAGGTTATTTTTCTTTATAATTTCGTAATGGATATATGTTATATAATTCATTAAATACACGTAAGAATATTTTCACAAATTTTCAAATATAAGCATATGAGAAGATAAAAATGGCCAAACATGTTGAAATTGAAAGTTGAAAGTAAAAATGGATACAACTTCCCAAATTTAGGATTAAATATTGAACTTAAAACTTCCCTTCTGAAGATTTAGAAGGAATCTCCTCTCGAATTTCCCGTAGTCCAATAACATATAGATAAATGGACATTTCCCACTCCCCAGGTTGTTAAAAAAAAAGTAACCCAAAGTGAGTAATCCAATTTGGGTTTTTTTTATTTTATAATTTAGGTGGGTGGCTAAATTTTAGCACCCATTTTAAAAAATGACCATTAGTTTTTAATTTCACATAAATGGTTAAATCATATTTTAGGAGTTTAAAAATATGGTGGTTTTCCAACTTTACCTTTGACCATGTTTTTTTTGTCCTTCTCATATTCAACCACCTAACAAATTTGATTTGAAATCAAATTTACTTTCCTACCATTTTAAGTTGTTTCCTAAATATATTACCACAAATTAAATTATTTAAATTATTTTGTTTTGAATTTGAATTAATTTAAACGATTTGTCAAGGTCTTCAATCTCATCCATCTGCCATTGTTCTACTGTCATTGGTGTGGTTTTTTAATTAAATTATAAGGGCAATACATGCATAAACCAATCAAAGAATTATTAAACTTTGAAGGACAATACATGTATATATAACTATGCAATTCAATTATAAAAATTAGAAGGTCAATACATGTATATACCAATTGAAGAATTATCAAAAGTAGAATATATGTTTTGAGTCTATCGGCTGATGGGATTTTTTTACATTAAGAGGGGGAATCTCTATATTAACAGGTCAATACATGTATATACCAAAATACAACTCAATTATCAAAATGCAACTTCATACATGTATTAAGGTATGTTGGTCTCGATGGTCCATACATGTATATATTAAAATGCAACTCAATTATAAAAATTAGAAAGTCAATACATGTATATACCAATTGAAGAATTATCAAAATAAGAAGGTCAATACATGTATATACTAATTGAAGAATTATCAAAATCCCTCGTCCCGTTTCTAAGGTGATTGTGCATGATTCCTTTGAATGCCTTGATGTTATAAAAAAATGGCCAAAATAAATAAGGCGTCTTAAAATATGGCCAAAAATATGAATAAATCTAGAAAGGGAAGGTAAATATGTAATTCCATTTTAATTGCTCCAATGTTTTTATGCATGAAAACAACCGAAACATATTATCATCTAATAGATTATCTACAACAGAAGTAGGCAAAAAAAATCAAAGACTCACCACCAATATCCATAAATGAAGTAAATATGGCCTCTTCCTCAACCGAGACATTTATATAAAACTATTGAAGCTATACCTCTTCCTTGCTTTCTAAGATACATTGTAAGATTATTTTAACCCTAACTTTTATGCCCACACTAATTCTAATTAGATTTACTTAAATATACGATGTATTATAATATAAAACAACGACATTTTGATGCAGTGGGTCTTAGATGTTTCTATAGCCTATATGGACATCTCTAACAAAATCTGAAAAAAAAAAAACAAGGGAAAGTGGTTATGGATATTTAAAAAAATGTTTTTATTATAAATGAACCATCATTTAAATACATTTTAAAACAAGAACATAGCACTCCTCTTCTACGGACAGAAAACAAACATCATCATGTTCTCATAAAGACTAGTCTGCATACATGCCTTGATTTGTATATGCAAGTATCATCCCGATGGAAACATGCGTGATGAAAACACTTTCCTCTATTTGTGAACACTTTCTAGGTATCAACATCATCTTCTTTCCATGGAGTGATTGGTAGCGGTTTTCTTATTCTTCAAATTCAATTACTTTTTTGCTAAAGTAGTTTAAATTTATAAAACCATATTTACAATTTCTTATTCTATATAATCTTTATTTCACTAATTTACAGGTTGTTTAATCATCTTTTAGGGCTTGTCAATTGCCACTTCTCTCCCCCTTCCTTCTCTCGTCTCCCATTCCCCTACCCCTCTGGTAGCACCTTCTTCATCGACGACCACTCATTCCTCATGCTTACCCTCGGCCCGTTTGTAACGTTCTTCCCCAAAATCCACCCCCCCAATCGCCAACACCGCCATAGTTGAAGCCTAAGAGGAGTCCAACTACTTTGCCATGTTCAACCCCCTCGACAATGTCGTCGCTCTTTATCTACTAGGCTTCGATTTGATAAAAAAGCTCAGACAAAGTTCTCTCCTAGATTTTTTTCATTTGGTGCTGATTCTCCTCTCTCATCTACCCTCCCATCATTTTCTCGTTAGGCCTCATCCCCTCCACTCCCTTTCTTTCAGGTTGAGTTGGGTTGAGTTGCAAATCAACTTCGATTCCATCTGGTACCTAAATTGCCTGACTCAAATTTTTGAGTTGGTCCAAAAAATTCTCTTAACCCAACCTAACCCAACTCGTGAACACCCCTAATCCAAATAGTTATGCTACGGTTTGTAAATATCGATTAGAGATACTTATAGAGTAGGTACTATATTCTATGAAAGTAGTGAGAGGGCTATTATGGTCATTCCACAAGGGTTTGATGCACCGTCTTAGGCTTTTTTAAACACATTAAGCATGAAGGTATGACCTTATCATTCCTCTACTCCAAAGAATGTGTATCGTAGGAATACAATTATGAAAAGCTTTCCACAAACAATGCTTGATTTTGGTTGTTCTGTTTTTACAGAACTGCTATCTGTGACGTAGGGAGTTACCCCACGTCACTTAACGACCCACTCCCCTGCAATTTTGCAGGGGAGTTTTTATTATATATATAATATTAATAAAATTAATATTAATAAAACTAGTATTAATAATAATTGATATATATATATATATATATATATATATATATATATATATATATCAAATAAATAATTAACACTTAATTATTTATTACAAAAGTAGAATCATATTCTATAGCATTTCTCTCGTATAACCTATAGTTGTAACGTACATCTTATGCACATTATTTTTAATCTATAGTTTTAATATGAATCATATTCATATGAATCTCATTCAAATAATTTCTCTCATAATATATAGTTTCAATTAGAATTAACTATATATTATAATATATCACTATACATATAATCCCTTGAGCAATTTGAACATTTCAAAATTTTTCAAAAACTCGTTCCTTGTTTTATCTGTAATGAGGTAGCAGGGGGACCTAATGGAC